GAGAGAGAGAGAGAGAGAGAGAGAGAGAGAGAGAGAGAGAGAGAGAGAGAGAGAGAAAAGTTGCACAGCTAAGAATCTTGTGACAGGTCAGCCAGTCCCACCTAAAGGAAAGCTATGGGAGCAACAGACAGTTCAGATTAAGGTAAATTGGGTGGACAGTCTAACTCATTTGAACAGAAGATCACCAGCACTCACCAGGATGAAAGCGTGAACTGTTTTTGCCATTATAAAAATCATATCACATGTGTCATTTAAGCTAATGTTCTGGGGCCACACAGGGTCCCTTCTTCAGGGCAACATAGTGACTCCCTGTGCCCTATGACATCACTCTGTCACTCCAAAGAAGGGACATTGGCTTAAATGACACGTGACGTGATTTCAATAAAAGTGAAAACAGTTCAAGCTTTTATCCTGGTGAATGCTGGTGATCTTCTGGTTAAATGACTTTGAGGACCATGGTGCCATCCGTGTCATCACTGCGAGCACCACAAACAATAACAAAAAGGTCAACGCGTTGTATGGAGTGCCGGTGACTCATCACAACGCTTTTTGGTGGGCATTCTGACTTTTAAACAGTAGAAAGTTTTTCTGGATAGCATTAGAATTTCATCCATGTGGCTATCAATACTGGGTTATGTTCTTGACACTAATTAGAAAAAAGGAAGTTACTTGGATGAGTATCTAAACACTTTCAACATTACAAAACAAGTTAAGTGGAAGTACAACAAGGGTAACACTTACTGCAGTTACTCTCATCAGACCTATCTCCGCAATCATCAATCAGGTCACACACCAGTAGACTGCTGATACAAGCCCTGGTATCTGTACACCAGAATTGGTCAGATCCATTGCAGCTTGACGCAGGAGGCGGCAGAGAACAGTTCTCAAAAACAATGTCATCAATAGCAGATACACCTTCGTACAGCCCCATGCTGATCTTTCTCATTGAAAGCTGGAAAGGCTGAGACAGGCGATCAAGTTGGATAAACCCCTTCCACCATTGATTTCCCTGGCTGTAGTATATTCTCCACAACATGGTGGGGTAATTTTCATTTTCGATATGGAGACGAATCTCTGCTGCTCCCACAGCCGGTCCATAGTTGTAATACCTGAAACAATACAGCACACTCCACTATGAGCAGAGCAGTTCTGATATGTCTTGATTAAAAGTGGTTTTTTAAAGGATCAATCTTTTAAAGCTGATATTTTAATATTTGTATTATACTGGAGAGTTAAGTAACTTAAAAGTTTATTTTGCTGGAGGGTTCTAATGTAAGATCTCTGCTTTGAGTTCTTGGGTGCTTATACCTTATGTGGGTCTACCACTTTTCTTGAAGATTTTTTTTTTGTTATTCTATAATACAGAAAAAGTAACAGTAGGTGCTGGAACACATATACCTGGGTTGGAACACATAAAACCCCCAAGCAGACAGGAGCAGAGTTGTGGAATTATGGGAGAAAGATCTCAGTGTTGCCAGGGCCAGATTTACTCTCTCTGCTGCCCCAGGGCCAGGTTCCTCAATGTGCTCCCTACCCGCCAACCCTCTCATGGAGAATGGCAGACCTGCAGGCTGCATACAAGTAATCTAGGCAACAGCGTCGGGATCACTTGTACAAAACAAGCGGCGGCTTCCCCGCTGTACATTCAGCTCTGCTTGCCCAAAGCAGGGCTAAATGTAGAAAACAGCTACCCACCCGGCGCCCGGAACTGCATGTCCCGTGCATGAGGAGATAAGAATTCCCCAGCCCTGCTGCCCCTCTACTCCCTGCTTCCCCGAAGCTGGGCCTTGGTTGGCCTTGTGGGAAATCTGGCCCTCAGTGTTTGCAGCATCCAAAACATGAAAGAAGTCAGTGGCTGACTAAGCCGAGCAGTCTCCATCTATAACTAAAATGTCCCTACTGGGTGGACCTAAACCTTATCTCAATCCAAAAAACAAAAACACTAAATACTGCAGCTTATCAATCCTTTAATATGGTGGCTGCATTTGGTTTCTTTGTTTAGGTTTTTTCCCCTTTATTTTCACCTGGTAATTAGGGTTGCCACCTGTCCAGGATTCACCTGGACAGTCCGGGTTTGGAATGCTGTGTTCGGGTTTCATGGCAGCAGAAACCCGGACACAAGATGTCAGGCAGATAGGGGCAACCAAAATTAAGATAGGGGCTACTGGCCCCCCCACTGAAAATAGCCTCAACTGTGATATTTACATATGAATGGGTGGCACTATTTACATATGAATAAGCCGCGACTCATTCTCCCCAAAAAATGTTTGTGTGTCGTTAGAGTGTTTGGGTTTCACATGAAGAAAAGGTGGCAACCCTACTGGTAATGCGGCCAGTAACACACTTCCTGTCTTAGAGTGGCTTCACTCTATGGAGGAGCAACAGAGCCCCCTTTGAACTGTTGTATCAGTATACCCATTTAAAAGGAAAAGGTGGCAAAACTTGGCTACAATATTGAAAACTGTAATGGTGGACACGCTACCTGCCAAACTGGAAAGTAATTAACAAGTTCTTTTACAAGGTGTTCTTTTACATAGTGACAAAATCAAGACCATGAAAAAAAAGTAATACTTTTTGAGATAAAATAACGATTCAGGAGAAAATAAGGCTTAAAGATTCCACGAACAAGCAATAGTTTGTTGTTTGTAAATTGAACATTCTTATGAGGAAAAGATCAGATAAAATGATAAAGAGAATTATAATAACTCATCCGTCTCCGTGAACTGAACCTCACGACTGATAAGAAGCACAGCATGCAAAACAGAAAATGTGATCGTCACATGAATGAAAAGGATGAAAGCTCTTCTTACCAGAAGGTCAGAGAACAGCCCGCTCCTGCCTGGCTGAACTTCGGGCTCCGTAATTCCGCAATATGTGAAAAGTTGCTGTTCCTTTTCTGAATAAACATGAAGTAACCTAATACATCGGGGCATAAATAAATAAACAGCTATTTAAGACATGTTACATGTAGGGCAGCCAACGTGTGCTTTAAATGCCTTTGAAAACTGTCGGGTAATTGATCAGTTTCTACACCGCCATTAAAGTTTCATGCTGTTTATCAAGATACAAGCGTTGAGCTGAACTACGTTAGGTCAAAGCTCTTTTCCAAGTTTCAAATACAAACTTTCAGTAGAGTGGTTAGTATTCCGCCTCGCGTCTGCGGCAGCCTCCAGCGCAAGGCACATTATACAGAATAGATTTATTAGCAATGAACATGGTGTTCAGTGAGGGGAGGCCTGGATGGCTACACCCCAATTGCGAATACTACTTTACTGTGGAGTCACTCGGATTCCACATATTGGAAGAAGGGGCTTTCTGGCCAACACATACAGACCTACTTAGTTCAAATTCATATTTAATGTTTATTAGGTATCTCATTAAAAATGACAGTAAGTCGATAAAAACTTCATTTGTAAAACAATATATAGCAGGAAATGCTGGTTCTTATTTGCATGTACACACAATCCATCCCTTAGGGTACAGTAAATGTATGACATAAAGACCCTCAATCGTTTATTTTAAGGGATCTGAATCCAGTGTATAAACCTCAATGCGTTTCGCCATTTGTAGTTTCCTCAGGAGGATATATATGATTTATGTGAACCAGCTAGATTTATCAGTACTTTTTAGAGATGCTGTCATGAGAAAAACACGTAGATTGCTCACTTTTCTTCTGAAAATGCCAATTGTCTGGCTTGCCTGCTGAAACTGTGGCTTTGATATTTTAAGTCACTGGCTTGAGGAATTATATCGATAAAGAATGTTCTTTTTAGAAAGAGGCTAGCAATGGCAGCCTCATAAATACCATGACAAGGCTTTCCATAAACAATCAAGCATGCATGTCTTACCATCTTCAGACATCTGTTGCCACTAAGTATTATGTTGTTTTTTTTTATAAAGAAGGGAAGAGACAAGCTGCTGGTGCAGCTTATCACAGCAATCAGGACAGGATTTCAGCCCTGTCCCAAAAAAATGTTCGCTCTAAGGTCATGGGGCAATTGTGTAAGGGAACTGCAGACTGTGGGCACCTTTTAAGTGAACTGGCAAGTGATATGGTAAATCTGTTGTTTTGCTCATGCATGGCAAAACAACAGATTTACCATAATCGGCCCACACACCCAGAAGCACATAGTCACCGTTACTTTGCCTCCTCCACTATTTTGTTGACCTGTCAGGAGTAGGAGAAGCTGCAGGTCAAAGCTTACACAGGGATATGGACCCTCCTCATGTAAAGATGATGGGGCTTGGTAACAGATCCATCACTATCACATGGAAGGAGTGTGGTTAGGTTATCAGAAAGGTCTTGCCAATCAGCAAGAGGTATGTTGGCACACAAGCTTTTTGCTGCCATTGGTGCCAAACCAACCATTTAATCGAAGACCTGTATAGGCTCAGTGATTACTAATCTCCATCAGTACTCTCTAACCTGTGGCATGCTATCCTGATTTCCTTTCTATTACCCACCTTCCCACTTATCCTGCCTTTGCTTCTTCCTGTTGCTGTACCTATAGATGTAGACAGTGCACCAGCCTGCTAATTCTACACCTTGTTTGCTACCTGGTCATTACCTTGGCTTGCACCCTCAACAATGTATCTGCCTACTGTCTATGTACCATATCTTCCTGCCTACTGTGATCCTGACCTGTTCCCAGAGAATGCATCTGCCTACTTCCTCTGGCTTAATTGTCCAATTCCAAGTACTCATCAAGCTTGATGTCCTGAGGGTGACAATTGCTATTTATATTTAAGCTGTCAAGTTTTAGCAAAAACATAGTCTTACCCTAGGCACTGATGATTCTCCATGGCTTTGTGTCACCTATCATCTCTATACAGGGGCCCTGGAATGGAGATACAGCAGAGACTGTCCTTGTCACTTCGGGCTCCTGACCAGGTGACACAAATGCTCCTCCATAGCTGGCAGCACATGTTAATTTCTTAGCTTCTGGCAGTTCAATGGAGTGGTGAAGACATGAAGAAAAGATATGTGTTGCTGGAAAAGTGGCTATTTAATTGAACCCCCACCCCCCACAACTCACTCCTCATTAGACTCTGAAATAGAAACATAGACCAAGCTTGGCTGCAAAAAAACATGCAATTATTGTTGATATAATAAATATATGAGTATTCATGGTTTATGTACTATGGAGTATTGTAAAACTGATTACTAGATGAATGTTTGTCATGATATTCATATATGTATTTGTTGTCAATATAGCTTTACAGTACTGCCTTTGAAAGATAGTTACTCTTTGAAAAGCGGACTTTGCTTGGGGAAATGCATTAGAGGATAGGTTCATGCCACAACCAATTGTGAAGTTTAATTTCAACAAAGTAATATAAAAGAGTGTTGGTTCTCAAAATATGTTGGATTGCATGGAATATTAAAGTGCAATACCGATGGGATTTCTGTTAAAAAAATAAAGTCCAGAAATGAGAATCAACAAAATGTTTTTAATATCAGGGGCTTTTTATAGATGAAAAATGAATTCCATACTATACTACCGTAAAAGTCCCATTTCTTTGAAAGCAAATTAAATTATATCCAGTTAAACTATTGAACCTTCTGTATTATTATTTTGAACACACAATCTCTATACTAGGCTGAAACTAAGGGAGAAACTAATGCTCAATTTTTCTTCCTGTATTCTTCTTTCACAATAAGTATTACTACTAGGATGGCAGGCACGGCAAGGGCCACTGATTGGAGCTTGTATTTCTGTTTCAAACTTTAACTCTTTCCAGCAGGGGCGTAACTAGAAATCACAGGGCCCCATAGCAAAATTGTATGGGGCCCTGTGGTTTCTAGTTATACCACTTGCAGAGCCCACTTGAGATACCACACAGCCCACCTGGGGGTGACCCTGCAGAGCCCACCATAGACTCTCTATGGTGGGCTCTGCAGGGTCACCCTCAGGTGGGCTGGTCGTACTCCTTACCTGTCCAGCTCCTCTTCCTCCACGCTTGCTGATGGCCCCTGCCTCCTCCTCCGTCGCCAGGCCCGCCTCCTTCTCCATCACCAGGGCCCACCTCCTTCCCTGTTGTCGACCACAGGCCCCGCCTCCTCCTCCACTGCCGGGTCCGGCCTCCTCCCCCACCGCTGCTGGCTCTTATTAACTCAGCAGCAGCTGTGGAGACGAACGCGCTGCTGCAAAGGTTACTCTCAGTCATCTGAACAGCGGCGTGTTCATCTTCAGAGCCACCAGTGAAAGCCACCAGCAGAGGATGCCATAGCGACTCAGGCGGTCCGCTCGGCATCTGGTCGTGCCCCCCTGTGCCCCGCGTCCCATAGCAGCCGCTTGGGTTGCTGTGGCGATTGTTACGCCACTGCTTTCCAGCCAGCAGGAGCCTGGATTTGTGGTTAGGACTGTGGCGATCATGAGGTCTGGGCACCCTAATACTAATTAGAAAGCTCCTGGTCCCCTTGCTGAAAATAAGCCATTTGTGGATATGATTACATAAAATACAGATCAGACATCAGTGTATTTATGGTTTAAAGATCTCCAAAAGAGAATTCTTCACATTTCACAGTTTGCTAATGGCCCAAGTTGTTGTTTGTAGGCCTGACTGGTTAATGCTTTTATGGCGGGTATAATAAACCCTAATCAGAAGAATAACTAGCCAGATCACTAGACAGCTCAGCTAATCTCCTAAAGATCACCTGGCCTGATAACAAAGAAATGACTTGGATCTCACCCATGTCAATAAAAATCAGGTTCAAAATGTACTCAATGTTCATATATTTGGAACCGGGGGTGATACATTAATATATACAGTATCTCACAGGAGTGAATACACCCCTCACATTTTTGTAAATATTTTATTATATCATTTCATGTGACGACACAGAAGAAATGACACTTTGCTACAATGTAAAGTAGTGAGTGTACAGCTTGTATATGAGTGTACATTTGCTGTCCCCTCAAAATAACTCAACACACAGCCATTATTGTCTAAACCGCCGGCAACCATATATGTGCACCACTGTGCTGCGTACGGCTGGTGGGAGGTGGTAATGAGAAGTGTGCAGGGGTTGAATCACTGACCTGGAACAAGTATGCAAATCATAGTCAGTCAGAGAATTGATTGCTCATAAATATTGAGGTGTTTCATGTTTCATTTTATTCGAGCAGTATTGGTTGTCTGGCACATTTGTGGAGAATAGTGCAAAATACTTTATTTTCATATAGGAGTTCTTATCTACATAAGTGATCTGGGTCAGTGATTTAGAAAGTACTGCTGCCAGAAGGTCAGGCAACTAGCAGTTTCAGCAGGTCCGCAGTGGCAGTCTCTGTGTTTCTCTAATGACAGGTAACATTTGGATAATCTGCGTCTTTGCATTGGGCTAACCATAAAAAAAAAAAATTGTTTTCAGATTAAGAAATACCTGCAGAGGAACCTGTAGAGTGATCCACAGGAGGGGCCTGGGAGGAATATTCAGGATGCAGTAGGCTTGGTGACTGTCTGACCCAGTTAAATAGATCGATAATCCGCCTTTCGTACCATCCACATCTACCAGTTTCAAAATCACATTTAGCAGCTAGAAAAATAGAAAAGGATATGACAAATTACAGTAGTATTAAACACTCAAACTTTTTTCAATAATAAATGGAGGCAAAACAAATACACATTGCCCAGCAAAGTTTTTCTGTACATACTGTACTTGCCCAATCACTTACAGTCATCATATTTCCAAACAGCTCCAACTCTCTAAGCTCTGCTTCCATGAACTTCCTGTCCATTACTAGATTAAAAGGGACAGCGCAATTGTCCATCTACTAGAAGAAAGAAAGAAAGAAAGAAAGAAAGAAAGAAAGAAAGAAAGAAAGAAAGAAAGAAAGAAAGAAAAGAAAGAAAAGAAAGAAAGAGCTGGAAGCAGGGGAGCGGTTTACTTTGTCATGCCTGTGTGTCTGTAGAGTCACACACAGCTTACTAGCACACACAAGGCTGGCTCCACAGGAACCTTGCAAGGGAAAGGAGCCACCCTAAAACAGGATATCCGGGCCCGGGCTCAGGGGACCAGCTGATTCTGCAGGAAACTAAAACTTTAAACATCAAGAAGCAGCATCCATTGTAAGTGATCTAATCAGCATTTGAAATAACTTAAAAACTATTTGTCCTTAATATAACTTTAAAGTTAGAGTAACATTAAAAAAGTAAAGATTTGCTATGTTTTACGTATCATTTAGAATTGTGCCTAAGCATTACCCAGAAAAAAGTACCTTATGTCTGGAATTCCTTCTGAAATATAGTAGTGCACTTCCTGGTACGTGAGGATGCCTAGGAATTCCTGCGCATTGAGCCTTATAGCTGTATATCTGCAGCATGAAACATAAGGCACTGCTGCCTCTGATTGCCTGGAGATTTGGTTACTACTGTGGTGTGCTGCACTGTTATAAAATACACAGACACAGTGCAGAGCACAGTATGGTGTGTCAGTAAAGATGAAGGCTACTGTGCTGCCACAGCCGCTGTCATTTTTTGTCATTTCTGTTATTTTGTTATATGTCATGTTTGTATATGTCATTTTATTGTGATATGCTGTATTTCTAGCTACAAGTGTCTGCCTAATCGGTACATTCTTTGGTATCTTTTAGATTGTAAGCCCTCACGGGCAGGGCCCTCCTTACCATCTTGTCTTGAATTGTATTGTGATTGTAATGTCTTCCTTATATTGTAAAGTGCTGCACAAACTGTTGGCACGATATAAATACTGTATAATAATAATCATCTTTCATTCACCCCTGCTGTTTCTTGTACTTTGGTACAGTCTTCTGCTAGATTCTCCTAGCCTCTCCTTCCCACTTATTTTCTGCTTCATCCTGACTGAGGTAAGAGGGTCTTAGTTTAACCTGTTAATGGCAAAGATAGGAATGTCTTTTCATCTCTAAATGTGCCCATGCACCTTGCGATTATTGTTCGATTTCCTAACAAAATCGGAGTTTTGTATGAAAATCTGCCAGTTGATGGGAAGTCAACGATCAGAATTACTGTACTCTTGGCCAAATTTAATCGATCGGTCAGGCTGGAAAACCTTTTTTCGAATTGTACGAAAATCGATGGATTAGTGGCGTTTTCGCATGAAAAAAAATTGCAACATGTTATGTATGTTAGCATAACATACAGGGGTACAGGTATGCCTAAGAACAAGATCACACATGGACTCATACACACGCACATACCTGCTCAAACATAAATGCACACACGCAATAGGTTGGACTTGATGGACTTATGTCTTTATTCAACCTCAAATACTATGTAACTATGTAACATGAACACTGCACATGCGCAAACGAAAACCCATTCTGTCGATCAATGAAATTCGGTCAGTTAGTATTGCAAATGAACGATAATTGAAATCCACATTGGTCTGAGAAATGATGGGGCATTCGTGCTGAAATCGAACAACGGTTCGAGGACAGGATGTAAAAAAACGTACGATAATTGTAAAGTGTATGGCCAGCTTAGTAATGACAGGAATCACATCTATTGTATTGTGAAGGCTGAACAAACTACATTGGTTTCTACTCTGAGACTTCTTATCGAGTTGGACACTATCTGTGAATTATCACCAAGTCAGTAGGTTGTCATACTATCCGTACAGACAAGTCTCAGGAAAGTATGTGCAAACACAAAGCGGTGGCTGTTCCAGAATAGCTACAGCCAATGCAGGTAAATAGTCCTTTGTTCTCTACCTTTTTTGGGGCACAGTTTCCAGAGTTCAGTTCCTCTTTAAGACTTGGAGATGATAAGATTCTCATACTGATTTCTGTAAACATCCCATGTTAGCAACCAGTGGCGTAACAAACCAGACGGCCGCTATGTGGCCCAGGGCACAGGGGGCCCGGCCAGGACATCCCTGATGCCGTGCGTGCCGCCTGGGTCGCTATGGCTATGGCATCTCATGCTGCAGGCTGTCACTGGCGGCTGTGAAGAGGAACGCACTGCTGTTCAGATCACTGACAGTGATCTGTGCATCGGCGCGTTCCTCTCCACAGCCGCTGTTGAGTCAATGACAACCAGCAGTGGAGGAGGCGGGGCCCGGGGTCGGCAGCAGAGGAGGAGGTGTGGCCCGGCGACAAAGGAGGAGGCGGGGCCCACCAGCGATAATGGAGGAGGAGGCGGGCAGCGGATCGGGGCTGACAGGTAAGGGGTGTGACCAGCCCACCTGAGACTCTGCAGAGTCCACTAAAGAGAGTCTATGGTGGGCTATGCAGGGTCACTCTCAGGTGGGTTGTGTGGGATCTCAAGTGGGCTCTGCAATACAAAATTTTGCTATGGGGCCCTGTTAGCAACCAATCAAATGTCAAGTTTCAACAGTCTTACTGAATTACTGAGTTATTATTGGGTGCTATGTTAAAGTGTAAATAAAACCCTAACAAGGAACTTCTCTTATTTGGTCCCTTTTGGTCTAATAAAGTAGAATTATAGACTTCCAATAAAAAAAGATGTGCTGAAGAACTTAACTATATATGCATCTGTATTTACCGATTTCTCCTAGCCCACCAACTACCTGTTGATCCTGGACAGTGAAAGGAGAAGCACTGGTCCATTTGGCTCATCTCTCCATCACTCTGCTCTCTCCTCTTAACAGCATTTACCTTGTTAGTGCATGAGCACTGCAGTACAACTGATTGGCTAGTGGTGCTGCTTCTCCCCCCCTCCTAACCTGCTGTACAGAGGCTGATAAGAGGCAGGTAATATCCAGGTACTTCACTACTTACAGTAACAAAAAAAATACATTTAAAGATGTATTATTGAAATCAAATCTAATTTAATGTGTCTCTTATATCTGCCTGGAGTTCAACTTTAGGGAATAGAGAAAGAAAACATTAGCTGTAAATGAGCATATTCAATATGGGCTAAAATTAGCAGTGGTGAACCACATGGATTGATATCAGTCCCAGTTCTTTTCAGTCATTTTATTAATGATCTGGTGGATGAGGCAGAAAGTAATGTTTGGCTCATGATACACATTATGTAGAACTATTACAACTCTGCAGGGTAGAGACAAATTGCTGAAAGATTTGGCAACATGTCCGTTAAATTGCATATATATTTTTGTATATATAATAAAATCTAAGGACATTCACCAAAGCCGGGGCCACAGCATTGCTTCCTTTACATTATTTGAAATGTAGTTGGGAAAACATAACTGAAGATTCGAGGATGCCATTTGAGGCTTCATTCACACAGACGAATGAGGGTGAATAGTCTGCTGCGTTCAGAGGGCGCTGAACACTGCTACTGGATGCACCGGCACTCTGTGCTATGGGCGCATAAAAACTGCCCCTGGAAGCAAACTGCATCAAAGGTTGGTCAGAGTCCCTAATCATTGCATTCAAACAGCACTGGTGCTAGCCATTAATTTGCACAGGGTACAAATCTGGCTGCCCACACAAGATAGGCATAGAGCTAAAGTTTCTCCGTTGGCTAGCATCCCTGATTCTTGCTCCTGGAGATGCTATTCACCCATGTGAAGTAAAGGTATGGCTATCTATACACTAACAGTTTTCTCATGCAGCCCCCACCGGGCTATTGAATATGACAGCTGTGAGTTTGTGGCTATCAGAATACTGGAGAGACTTCAGCTGATTGGTTGCAGTCACTGTTTGAGCAAGAATTTTCAGACCAGATCCTTCATAAAAAATCAGTTGAAAAATCATCTCTGATTGAACGGAGGGGTGCCGATTGGACCACACATTTTTCGAATTTTAGCCAAATCCTGCTATAAAATTGACCGGTGTATGGCCAGCTTAAAGAAGAATTATGGGGCGAGTGAAAAATCATCATCCCCATAATTCAAGCCGACCTGTGACACTGAAGCTGTCACACATCGGCTCTATTGACCGGGAAGTCAGCGAGCACATAGCGCTGATTGCTGACTTCCCAATCCTTTACCTGCAGAGAGCGGTGACTGTCAGTCACCGCTCCACAGAGGGATTCCTCTCCGTTTCTCCAACGCTGACTAGAGGGATGGGGGGGGGGGGGGGGG